CAGTGAAAAACGTTTTTTGTTTTTAAATGCAAGCTACTGTGACACCAGATATGAGTGGCACTGTGAACTGGCAGAGGTTGGTAGAGTACAAGCTGTAGGGCTGACACACCCGCTTGAAGACAACTAACTGCTATTCAATCTATAACAGTGAAAAACGTTTTATGTTTTTAAATGCAAGCTATTGTGACACCAGATAAGAGTGGCACTTTGAACTGGCAAAGGTTGGCAGAGTACACGTTGTAGGCCTGACACACCCGCTTGAAGACAAGTGAGTGAGTGGTGGCACTGGGCAAGTGGGCACAGTATATGTTGCGAGCCTGACACACAGACGCTTGCAAACAACTAACTGCTATTCAATCTATAACAGTGAAAAATGTTTTTTGGTTTTTAAATGCACGCTATTGTGACACCAGATAAGAGTGGCACTGTGAACTGGCAGAGTACACGCTGTAGGGCTGACACACCCGCTTTGAGATAACTAACTGCTATTCAATCTATAACAGTGAAAAAAGTTTTTTGTTTTTAAATACAAGCTATTGTGACACCAGTGAGTGAGTGGTGGCACTGGGCACAGTATCCACTGTGAGCCTGACACACCCGCTTTGAGACAACTAACTGCTATTCAATCTATAACAGTGAAAAAAGTTTTTTGTTTTTAAATACAAGCTATTATGACACCAGATATGAGTGGCACTGTAAACTGGCAGAGTACATGCTGTAGGGCTGACACACCCGCTTTGAGACAACTAACTGCTATTCAGTCTATAACAGTGAAAAAAGTTTTTTGTTTTTAAATGCAAGCTATTGTGACACCAGATATGAGTGAGTGGTGGCACTAGGCACTGTATCCACTGTGAGCTTAACACACCCGCTTTAAGGACACTGACTGCTATTCAATCCATAACAGTGAAAAAAGTTTTTTGTTTTTAAATGCAAGCTATTGTGACACCAGATATGAGTGGCACTGTAAACTGGCAGAGTACACGCTGTAGGGCTGACACACCCGCTTTGAGACAACTAACTGCTATTCAATCTATAACAGTGAAAAAAGTTTTTGGGTTTTTACATGCACGCTATTGTGACACCAGATAAGAGTGGCACTGTGAACTGGCAGAGTACACGCTGTAGGGCTGACACACCCGCTTTGAGACAACTAACTGCTATTCAATCTATAACAGTGAAAAACGTTTTTTTGTTTTTAAATGCAAGCTATTATGACACGAGATATGAGTGGCACTGTGAACTGGCAGAGTACACGCTGTAGGGCTGACACACCCGCTTTGAGACAACTAACTGCTATTCAATCTATAACAGTGAAAAAAGTTTTTTGTTTTTAAATGCAAGCTATTGTGACAACAGTGAGTGAGTGGTGGCACTGGGCACAGTATCCACTGTGAGCCTGACACAGAAGCTGGCAGACAACTAACTGCTATTCAATCTATTATAGTGAAAAAAATATATTTTTTTTAAATGCAAGCTATTGTGACACCAGTGAGTGAGTGGTGGCACTGGGCACAGTATCCACTGTGAGCCTGACACAGAAGCTGGCAGACAACTAACTGCAATTACATTACACAGAAAAAAAAAAGCAGGCTGATGTTCTAGCCCTAAAAAGGGCTTTTTGGGGTGCTGTCCTTACAGCAGAGATCATATGAGTCCTTCAGGACTGTAGTGGACACTGTATACCCTAACCTAGCTATGCATTTCCCTATCTAATCAACAGCAGCTACACTTTCCCTCCTCTCACTAAGCATGCAGCTTGAGAATGAATGTAAAATGGATGCTGTCCAGTAGGTGGGAGGGTCTGCTAGGGAGGGTGTGCTGCTAATTGGCTGGAATGTGTCTGCTGACTGTGAGGTACAGGGTCAAAGTTTACTCAATGATGACGAATAGGGGGCGGATCGAACCGCGCATATGTTCGCCCACCGTGGCGAACTCGAACATGCTATGTTCGCCGGGAACTATTCGCCAGCGAACCGTTCGGTGCATCACTATTCGCGACATCTCTAGTGGGGATCATATCACCTAAGTGCTATGATTTGAGTGGTACAACCGGTCTATTAAACGTGAGTAATTTACTATTTATTTCTACCTATTTTCGATTGTATCAGAGTAAGCATTATTGTTTGCTTTTATGTTTTACCCTTTATATACATGTGGGTGCAAAGATACTAACCTCCAAGAGATACATATTTATCAGTTATTTACTCAACGCTGGTCTATAGCTCTATCAAATGTGAGTGTGAGTCCACATATCCTTGTTGTGTTTGCTACACGTAGTACTAGACTATACGCACTATTATTTGTTATTTTCTGTTTCATTGAATATTTCTACCACTAACTGAAGCCTGGACCATTTCCAGCCAGGAATTTCCCAAGAACTGTTTGGTCTTATTGGATGTATTATACTCAGTATTTGGTGCAACCTGTTTTTGTGTTTTGTATTGTTTTGTTTTTTCTACAGTTAGGGGTTCAGTGTTTGCAGCCTATTCCTTTATCCATATAACAAAAAAAGGGTATAAAATATATACCTATTAGTGGAGCTCCAATGAGGAGTGAAAGCATATACATATATATATTTGACAGATGGCAGGTGCTGGAGTTGCACGGTGTGTCCACATATATCCTTGCAACCTCCATCAGTGTGACCTGAAATAATAGAGCCATCACACAGATCTGTATACACTTGTCACTTGTAAACTCCTCCAGGGATACAATATATACTCATGTAAACTCAGTGTGTTGGCATGGTCATCCCAAGATTCTGCAATCCACATGGAAATAACCAAGTGGCCAGTCATTGAGTCCTAGATTGCAGAGGTTGTGGGCTACTAGTTCATATACAAACCTATACAGTGCTGCGCTCATCTTTGTACTGTTTATAATTCTTTATTTTTCTGTAACCAACTCTTACCATATCCTTAATCAGAGTCCTCATGTATACATCTTTGCTTGATATATTGGGCGTTTGACCAAGCTTCTGTCTTGTGTCCCCTTTCCCATTTTAGGTGCTCTAATATAAGATCCTGCAAAGACCTTCCTTTGAAAAGAGTGAATAAGTGAAATCCAGAAGTATCATGTAACCAATAATGTTAAGTTGATAAACTTCATAATAGAAATAATTATTTTAGGAGATGTCAAAAGCAGACACTTTACAGGCTTTGATAGGGTAACCATTTGTATGGACAATGTTAAAATACAATTTCTAAACAAACACAAAATACATTCTATAAGATCTATTTAAAAAGTGTAGACATCTGGCTTAACACACATTCCGAAAAATAATATTAGTTTGCCGTATTACAGGGCAGCCAGCATAAAGCAGTTTATTAATAATTTAAATATTCTAATCTACATATGAACATTTATCGTGATGCCTTGCACTTAAGGAAATATCAGCCATATCTAGCTTACATTATACAGCTGCAATCCCACAGCTGAATGCCTAGATTACTTATAATTACCATTAATGTTCCTCTTTGACATACTTGTTATTAGTTGAACTTCTGGGCAAACACAGTGCTGCAAACTCAGCTGTGTAAATATAAATATAATTTTCTAAGTTGCAATTTTAAGATGTTCCAAAGATTACTGAAAACCCGTTAAATACTGAAATGTCCTTATAGTGCTGGTTTCCTCCTGCATCTCTGAAAAAAATCATTGATTTGTAGAGAAGATTCTATTCTGACCATATTGTAATAGTATTCAGATATAATGGAAACTATCCCAAATCCTTAAGTTTCCCTTACATTGTGATACTATTAATTAGCATCCCAAATGTAATGACCATTAAAGTGTCAGCTCATCTGCCAGCATCAGATGAGCATTCACTTTAATGTACATTGCGGTGGTGCAAAACAAATCTCTGTTATCTAAATGTACATATTGATTTGAGATAGTGTGCAAATAACATTTATGCATTGGATCTGACAAATAATAATAGTGGGAGTTTGAACACAGGGCTAATAAGAGAAGCCCTACCAATCAAGTTAAATAGTGATAATTGTTGTCCCTTGTTGAGTCTCTGGGTAGAACATAGTTAAAAGAGGAAAGGGAGGCACAGTTTTCATTGAGAGATCTATATTAAGCTATTCTAGGCATCAATACAGGAATATTTAAACAACTGTTAGGTGTGTATCCAGAGAGATCATCTATTAAGCTAAAGAGGAAACAACAATGTAAGTTGTCTACTAGGTGCCA